AGAAACCTGACGGGGGGAGTCTGTGTGTGTGAGAGCGTGGGTGAGAGGGAGAACACATGCATGCTCTCAGCATCTTTCTGTGGTTTCATTCAGAGCAGTTAGAACACAGAAATGCCTGTGCGTTCAGAAGTATGCTCTTGCTGTAGAAAATGTATGTCGGACCTGTACCCGAGCCCCTTGTTACACAGTCGGTGCGCCGTACAGTAATCCAGCGGCTACTCAGTAGATGGTGTGGCGTGTGTCTGTGCCTCCCTTGAAAGCACCTGTTTCAGTACCTTCCTAGGTATTTTTGGAGTGGCCAGAATAGCAGTTCGTGAGGTGGTGGCGTAGATTCAGTTCAGGAAGTTGTATGAGTCTCGTTCAGTGCGAACATGTGTTTGTTCCCCTCTCTGCCTATGTCTGCTTCTGACCGGGGTTCCTTTTCTGTGTGCTTATCTTTCCACTTTCTACTCTGTTTTTTTTGTTTTTGTTTTTGTTTTTTTAAGCTACTTCCCACAGACGGAATGATCCGAAAACACTCTCATGTCAAGATAGGGCGTTACCATCAGGTATAGTCCTGGCGGGGAGAGGGGAGCGGGGAGTTACCCAGGGTGTGGGAATGGGGCTGCATGTGACCAAGTCAGCTCCTAGTAGCCTCTGGAGTCTTGAACAGGTCCCTAGGTAGAGGTAGAGAGGTACTTGGCAGGAAACCCAGCAGGCTTCCTTTGGAAGTGGGACACCAGCCACATCTGGGTGGGTCCCTTTTTTCCTGTAGCATTTACAAGAGCAGCTGGACTTAGACCTCTCGCCTTTGGAGTACATGATGAAATGCTACCCAGAGATCAAGGAGAAGGAAGAAATGAGGAAGATCATTGGGCGATATGGTCTCACCGGGAAACAGCAGGTCAGTGGAGGGGGTGTGGGAAGAACCCCAGGTAACTGGGAGGCTATGGCCGGATGGTCCGCCTTTCCTCTGCTCTGGGTTATTATGCATTGGAGCACTTAGGTCTCGGGGGAGGGGCGAGGATAGCGTGCCAGTCTCTGACGTGCCCTTGCCCCCCTGACTAGCAGGTTGAGCCATAGTGCTTAAAGGCAAGGGAAACTGAAACCTAGCACACAGGTTCCTGGATTCAGATCCCAACTGTGGGTCCCCTGGATTGCTCCACTTTATTAAGATTCTGTGTCAAGACAGGGCTTCAGGCTTCCAGATGTATCCCTTTTGGGTCTTGAGAGACAGGCAGCTATGCCACCGTCTTGCTGTGTGACCTTGGGTCTTCCTGAGCCCCGCTTTCTGTGAAACGGTGACGACAGAGGAGCCATGGGGAGAGGTGAGTTGCGATGTGTGGTGAGGGCGACACCAGCTTTTATAACTGGCCGGTTGCACGCAGGTGAGCCCGATCCGGAACCTGTCTGATGGGCAGAAGTGCCGAGTGTGTCTGGCCTGGCTGGCGTGGCAGAACCCTCACATGCTCTTCTTGGACGAGCCCACCAACCACCTGGATATCGAGACCATCGACGCCCTGGCAGACGCCATCAATGACTTTGAGGGTGGTATGATGCTGGTCAGCCATGATTTCAGACTCATTCAGCAGGTGAGGCTCCTGGCTGGGTGGGAGGCATAGCAGAGGGCATCTCAGAGGCAGTTAGGTAGAGCACCGTCGTGGCACGTGGAGGGCACGTAATTCACGTTGACTGTATTTGGAAAGTGGGCTCAGGACATAGACAGGGTGGACAGGGCCAGATCTTACGGTTCTTTGGGAAACTTAGAAAGCGTTAGTGGAAATACTTGAATTCTTCAGTAGCTATTTGGGGCTGTTAGCCTACTTGGCATTGTTGGCCAAAATGGGCAAGGGAGTTGGGTAGAGAACAGGGTGCTGCTTCTGTGGTTCCAAGATTCTTCAGCCTAGAAGTAGTATCATACTAGGGAGACTCCGGATTAGACAGAGGGTTACTGCTAGTCATCAGTGACAAAGCTGCTGGTCGTTTCGCTGAAGCTTTCAGGAAGATGGGGTGGAGAAAAGCTGAGAGTGAAGCGTTCCTGCTAGGGAACTGGAACTAGGGGTGACACGGCAGGTCCTGGCTTGGAAGGCTCCAAAACCTGCTGGTTACGGTGCCCTTGGGTTAGGCCAGACCTAAGTAGCGAAACTGAGCTGGCTGTGGGCCTGCGCGGGGGGTTATGGGGTTTTCTTCCCAGAATCCCCTGGGGACAGTCTCCTGGGCAGGGATGGCAAGGATACTGGTCAGGATTATTAAGTCTAGGATTTGCTTTCTAGGTTGCACAAGAAATCTGGGTCTGTGAGAAGCAGACAATCACCAAGTGGCCTGGAGACATCCTGGCCTACAAGGAGCACCTCAAGTCCAAGCTAGTGGGCGAGGAGCCCCAGCTCACCAGGAGGACCCACAACGTGTGAGCCCTTGCCGGCCGGCCGGCTGGGCCAAGCCCCTGGGGCCACACTCCTGCATTGCTGCAATACTGCTCCCCAGCCCCTCCCCCCACCTGCCTTAGCTGCACTCTGTGATCTTATCTACAGCTGGACAGTACCTGTCCGTCTCCTGTCCTTCCAGTTACTTTTGTCCATGTCTGGACTCGGCTGGCTGTTCCTGCCAGCTCCTTGCTGGTTCTGACCCTGATAGTGATGCAGCCAGAGGCATCTGAGTGTTAACCCAAGGGCCCATGCCCTGGGTTGGCCTGTGAAAGAGCTTAGGATCCTCGTTTTCTGGGTTTGGGGATGTTGGAGGAATACCTCCCAGCCCACCACCCCTGTTCCTTTCTGCTTCTGGTTTGGAGCTCTGGACCAGGGTCTTAATCCTGGTCGGTTTTTAAATAATTATTTAATGGTGTAACTTTTAGACCTGTGTGACATCTACAAAGCGTCCAATAAAGAGAGAAGCAGCCATGGTCCCTGTCTTCCTTCATGGGTCTCTAGGCCCTTCTCCCACTCCTTGCTGCAGTGCCAACATTCACTTTCCCTCAGCACGAGCTAGGGCAGGAGTCGGTGGGCTGGATGCAGCCTGAGGACTAGCCCATAGGCACTGGAAGAACTCTCTTCCCTTCTGATCTGAAATTGTGCCTTTTCAGAGACTTCCCTTGGAGGTCCAGTGGTTAGGACTCCGCACTTCCACTGCAGGGGGCACGGGTTCGATCCTAGGTTGGGGAACTAAGATCCTGCATGCCGTGCGGTGCGGCCAAAAAAAAAAGAAAGGTGAAATTGTGCCTTTTCTTAGGCCAGCGGTTCACAAACATTAACATGCATCAGAATCACCTGTAAGTCTCGTTCAATCACAGATTGCTGGGCCTTGCCTCAGAGTTTCTGGTTCAGTAGGTCTGGGGTGAGACCAAAAATTAACAATGCTAAGAAGTTCCCAAGTGATGCTGCTGCTGCTGGTCTGGGGGCCACACTTGGAGAACTGCTCTCCCGGAGCATGTTTTTCAGAGTGGTCTGAGGCTTTGCTGCTGCTGCCTGTACAACACTTGGGACATTGGTTAAAAACGCAGATTCCTGGGCTTCAGGCCTATTGATTTCGGTTGGTGGGATGGGAGAGATGCAGAAATGGTCAGGAGTCTGCATTTTCACACTGATGTTTGTGAACTACCGTTCCTGGTGGGATATAGGAAGTTTTATCGTTTTATCTGTCCACAACCTTAATTTTCATTAGCGCTATATCTGTTTTATTTCCAAGGCAGGACTTTGCATAGCCTGTCTGAGTTTTAATAGCACTTCCAGCCTCTGTGCCACCCGGCTTCTAGCCTCACCGATGTGGATTCATCACACCATCTCTGAAACCTCAGCAGCCATCCCTGTGGGGAAACCTACACAGCCATGATTTTTCAGTGCCCATCATGGAACATCTAAGACTTTGTAAAACAGACCAAAAAAAGTCCCAGGTGGTGTCTGAATCCCCAAGGAGGTCTCGATCTAATGGGAAAGCCAATAAGACAGAAAGGGCGTAAAGCAGATGTTAAATTGTGACTGAGTAGGATACACCGAAGGCTGTAAAAGGGAGGGAAGTTTCTCGTGAGTAGCTGCCCAGAAAAGTGGGATTGGTGCTCTAACTTGGAAGGCGAGTAGGATCTCAGATGGCCTTGGAGTCCAAGAGCTCCCCTGGGCAGAGGGAACAGAGTAGCAGGTGAGGAGTAGCAGCTGAGTCTGAGATTCGCGAGGCTGGAGGAAGAGACTAGGACTCCCACTCCGCCCTCTGACCCCAAGGGGCCTGGCTTGGCTGCTTTGTGCCTCAGGTGGGGCCCAGAGAAAAATGGCTTGTCAGTCTGTCCTGAGTATCCAGAGACTTGGTTAGGAGGATAATGGGAACAGATGAGAGCTGCTACTTTGGCCAAGGGAGGGTCTGGGTATGTTAAGAAACCCCGTTGAAGTCTGTTGGGGTCTCCAGGGATGGGAGGGCTTCAGAACCAGAGGAACAGACGTAATAGGCTATCAGCTTGTCCAGAAAAAAAGGCAGTCTCAAGATTTTTTAAGAATGCTTAAGGGCTTACCTGGCGGCGCAGTGGTTCAGAATCCGCCTGCCAATGCAGGGGACACGGGTTCGATCCCTGGTCCTGGGAGATCCCACATGCTGCAGAGCAACTAAGCCCGCGCGCCACAACTACTGAGCCTGCGTTCTAGAGCCTGCGAGCCACAACTACTGAAGCCCGTGTGCCTAGAGCCCGTGCTCTGCGACAAGAGAAGCCACCGCGATGAGAAGCCCGCGCACCACAATGAAGAGTAGCTCCCGCTCGACGCAACTAGAGGAAGCCTGCATGCAGCAACGAAGACCCAACGCAGCCAAAATAAATAAACTAATTATATAAAAATTTATACTTTTAGGGGCTTCCCTGGTGGCGCAGTGGTTGAGAGTCCGCCTGCCGATGTGGGGGACGCGGGTGCGTGCCCCGGTCCAGGAAGATCCTACATGCCGCGGAGCGGCTGGGCCCATGAGCCATGGCCACTGAGGCCGCGCATCCGGAGCCTGTGCTCCGCAACTGGAGAGGCCACATCGGTGAGAGGCCCGCGTACCGCAAAAAAAAAAAAATTATATATTTAAAAAAAGAATGCTTAAAAATCCCACAAAATACATATTTCTATGAACACGTAAAATTAGGGCCTTATTTTGGATTTAAAACTGCCCTCCTGGTCCTCCAAACCCTGGGCTGTAGCTGGGCGTTGGAACTGGGAAAAGGGGGGCTTGGTGAGCCGGCGGCTGCTCAGGCCCACCTTCCCCCAGACAGGTGATGCTCGTCTTCACTCCCTCCCCACCTCTTGATTGGGAAAACCCTCTTCCCCACAGCCCGGACTTGTCACCTTGCTCCTGGTTTCTTTAATCACAGCGTTCAAGAACCTGAAATACTCGCCCACGCATAGGTGCCAAGTGAGACAACTTTCTCCATGCAACAGCGCCTTTTTCTTCCCTTCCCTTCACGGCTGACTTCCACAGGGACCCCATGACACCTGCTCCCACGTGGAGCGCCCCGCTTCCTCCAGTCCTCCCGCCCGGACGCCCTCTCTGTCAGGCCCTCCCAGCTGTGCTTCCTGCCGCCTCCACCTAGCCTGGGCTCCATCTTCTGCCTTCAGTCCAAGCCTCCCTGTAACCACACGCATTGATTTCTTTCTTCCGTTCCTCCCAACTAAAATCTCCTTTCTCCCCAGTTAAATGGTACCCATCCTACCAGACCAGCTTCACATCCTCATTTATTCCCTGAAGGCTTCTCTGGCCGCTGTAGCCCTAAGTTTTCTCTGAGCTCTCTGTTCCACACACTTTTGCCCTTTCACTCTTCCCTGATGGTTGCGTGTGAACCAGTCTTGTCTCTCCAGCTGTGTTGTAGGGCCCTCGCGGCGGGTGGGGGTGGGGGCGCGGTGCATTGTGCCCCTCCTGACCCCAGCGCTCAGCCACGAGAGTGCTCACGGGTGCTGCCGTGAGTGCAGGGCGTGAACTCTGACGGTGAGTAATACAATGGGAGATGATAGTGCGGGGAAGGGGGCTGGTGGGGGGCTTCTTACTCAGAGACAGGAAATCCCTGGGGGAGAGGAGGGAGCAAATAGGCTCTTTGTGGATTAACCCAGAGCGCCTTCAGGGTAGGGTTGGGCCAGGCCCCTCCCCCGCTCCCAGGTGCTGGCCCCCAGCCCCACCTGGCGGGCAGCTGACTTCTTAAAAGTTCACCCAAGGAGCGGAGGAGGAGGCCACCAGGAGGACCGGGACGATGAGCGCTGAGCATGGACAGCCACAGCAGTCCGGGGGCCGGAGGGGCCGGAGCTCTGGAGACAAGAAGTCCAAAAAGCGCAGCCGGCGCAAAGAAACCTACTCAATGTATATCTACAAGGTGCTGAAGCAGGTGAGAGCGGGAGCTAGGGGCATGTGAGGAGCGCTGGCAAAAAAGCCTGGAAAGGGCACTGCATGGAGAGCGCGGGGCGCAGTTTACTTGCGGCACTGAGGCCCCCGAGCCCCTCTGGAGGGGGTGGCACTTAATCTCGGAGGTCCCCGCAACCGCTCAGTGTCTGTCCTGACCTGTGATGTGCAGGAGACCCTTCAAACATGCTCCCACCACAGTCCAGAGGCTTACAAGGCTTCTGGACAGACCAGATTATTAAGCGGAACATTAGGTGGGACATAGTTAAAGGAAGACCACAAAAAAGTGCCGGGCTGAAGGTGACCAGGTGCCAAACATACGCTGGCACAACGAGAAGTACTAGTTAGTGGTGGCTAGAGTGAGGATACTAATTACTGGTGACTAGAGCGCGGAGCGGTGCGTGTGAACCACAGCCTTGGGGAAGCCTTCCAGATGGGCAGCACTCAGTCTTCGGGGGGCTAAGGGGTTGGTCTACCTTGTAGATAAGGAACCCCAGGTGCATAAAGGCTCATTGGGGTGACTGAGTCCCATGACCTGACAGCAGCGGACGTCTGGTCCCCCTGGCTCTGGGGGGTTAGTCCCACCCTAACCCACATGTGTGCTCTGCTTCTCCCAGTGCACCTGTGAGAGGCACCTACTCCTGGGACTCTCGCCCTGGCAGGCATTTGGGGGCACTCATGTACCCAAGCAGTGTGTCTAGAGGATCCCGGGCAACCTGGCCTCAAACACTGCCCTGCTCAGCAGAGCCAGGGCCGGGAGGAGGGAGGGGTGTCTGGGCTGCCTCCCTCAGCCTCCCCAACCTCCCTGAGCCTCACCCCTTGTTAGGTGAGACCGCAGACTGGAGCCTGTCTCCGGTCTGAATCCCCGGGTCTCTGGAATGCTCTCCTGGGGTGGGCCCGGCACCCATGTGGATCGGCCAAAGGGCAGCAGCAGAGAAGACGCCAGTGGCCTGAAGAAAGCGGGGGCGGGAGCGGTTATCAGTGAGCCCGGCAGCTTAGCCTAACTCTTCGGCTCAGAGCTCGTGCTGGGAGGGTTGGAGCGGGGCTGGGCTGCCGCGCATGGCCCCCGTGCGGTGGGGTGAGCCACTGTCCCTCCTCTGCGGCCCTGAGGGGGACAGGATGTGAAGACAGCACGCAGGGGTCAGGCTGAACCCACGTGGTACAGGCCCAGGTTTCTGACTGTCACGTCCGGGGCACCAGAGGCGGTGGGCAGAGCGGGGGCCCGGGCTTAGTTCTGTGGCCACCACCGGCTTGACCTTCCTCATCAGGCAGTCACCTACCTCTCATTTACAGAGAAGCAAAAATCCGCCTACTCACGTTTTAGGACTGTTACGAGATCCCTGCCATTTGTTTTACTGGAGGTCACCTAGTTCAAAAACTTCTGTGACAGAAGAGGAAACAGGCCCGGAGGAAAGTGCTGTATTTAAGGTCGTACGGTGACTCATGGGACAGCCACAGAAGCCAGGTCTCCTCACCCCTAGTCTGGTGCTGAGATTGTGTCCTATGAGTGTCCTCTCTGGAAAATAATTTGGTCACGATTTACCAAGTTACGTGCACGAGCCCTCTAGGAACTTCTAGGAATAACCTTCATTGTGCTCACACAACCGTTCAAAGACATATTTATTATAATACAATGTAATAGCAAAACAAAACCCCTAAATGTCCATTAAGAGAGGAATGTATAATATAAACTATGATTTGTCCATACTATGGAACACTCTGCAAATGCATTAAATGAAAAAAGAGACGTAGCATTGCTTATCTCTTGCAGTTGGGAGAAATTTTTTTTTTTAGCTTGAATATAGTAGTAAAAAAATAAATCCCTATTTCCATGTCTCTCGGCCTCTGGAAAGAGGCTGGTAAGGGGGCCTTGCAGTCCCCAGCTTGGGGCTGGGGCTTGGGGCAGAGCCCCTGTGTTAATCAACTGGTCCTGCCGCTTCTCCAGGTGCACCCTGACATCGGCATTTCCTCCAAGGCCATGAGCATCATGAATTCGTTCGTGAACGACGTGTTTGAGCGGCTGGCCGGCGAGGCCGCCCGGCTGGCCCAGTACTCGGGCCGAACCACACTGACGTCCCGGGAAATCCAGACAGCCGTGCGCCTGCTGCTTCCAGGGGAGCTGGCCAAGCACGCTGTGTCTGAGGGCACCAAGGCCGTCACCAAGTACACAAGCTCCAAGTGACCTGGGGCCCAACCTTAATAAAGGGTGAACTGCTCCCTCGTGCTGTGGTGATTTGAAAAAGGGATAGATGAAGGCAAGGTGTGCTGGGGGGCAAGGGTGTCGTCACTTTTTTGGCTCCCAAGGTGGAAGAACACTTATTTAGACCTTTAAAAACTGCTTTCTGGGGGCTTCCCTGGTGGCGCAGTGGTTGAGAGTCCGCCTGCCGATGCAGGGGACACGGGTTCGTGCCCCGGTCCGGGAGGATCCCACATGCCGCGGACCGGCTGGGTCCGTGAGCCATGGCCGCTGAGCCTGCGCGTCCAGAGCCTGTGCTCCGCAACGGGAGAGGCCACAACAGTGAGAGGCCCCCGTACTGCAAAAAAAAAACAACAAAAAACTGCTTTCTGGGTGGGCCCCGTGAGGGACATGTGAGTGTACATGTAAATGTACAACGTTCTCATTCTTAGTGCGATGAAGTACGACTTGGTCTGGATTAGAATCCTGGGTCTACTGCTGGCTGTTTCCATCATGCCCTCTCTGGGCCTGAAATTCCATGCGTGTTACTCTTGCAGGCCATGGTTTTGTGATGCCATTTCCGGCACACCATAATTTTTGTCCTGTGCCGGGCACAGGGGCTACACAGGTCTATTCTTCAAGACACAGAAATGAAAGGCCCAAACCAGCTTCTAAATAGCCGATTGGGATCTCTACGATGTTTTTATTTCCCCCTAATGCTCTCTTCCCCTTAACTTCAGAACAAATTGGTGAGAATGTTTTTGAGACTCCTAACTTTTCTTTCCCACTTTTATTTTGAAAAATCTCAAATCCATAGAAAAAAATTGCAAAAATGTACAATGACCACATGTATGACCTGCACCTGGATTCACCACTTAACACGTGGCCACATTTGCCTTTTCCTTCTCATTCAGCCTCTGAGGCACTGGGGTGAAGGAGTGAGGTTTAGTGAACAGTCCAAAATCCCTTACGTTCCCCTTGTAATTTCAGCTTCTTGTACTGAAAACGCTCACTGTAATGATGGCTGAAGTGTGGCCCTACATACTTCACACGTGTTTCTTCCTATGTCAAGCCTACCGTGGAGATGCTGAGAGATGAGAACAAATCATCCGCACTTTGGTCCCACGGCCAGAACGGGGCAGGCTCGGGGGACGTGGCCCAGGAACCTCGGCTCTTCCCCACTCCCGCTGTGTTTCACACCTTGCCACTCAAGGTGTGATTCAGAGGCCAGCGGCATCTGTGACGCCGGGGACCTTGTTAGAAATGCAGGATCTTGGCCCCAGCTCGGAGTGCAGAATCGGACCCTGCATTTCGACAAGATCCTCGGGTAATTAATTTGCAGGTGCATTACGCCTGAGAATTCCTCTCGGGCTGCTCTTTGCTGCTGCCTCTCTCCTCCCACTGTCCTTTGCCCCATGCCTTATATATAAGTGACATATGACTTATGACTTATTCATAAGTCCCTACTGGACACTGAGCTAAAAGATCACCCCAGCTGACCAGGGCCAGGCTGCTGCTGTGTTTCGTGTTTTCCAAAGAGCCTTCTCATGAGCCTGGAGCAGTGATGGGGAAACCCACAGAGGGCTCAAAATGAGCCCCAAACACCACTGAGTCCCACCCACTACTCCCAATGTCATTCTTTACGAGGGTATAGCTTACTCGAACCAAGTGAACTACCGTCAGAGCCCAGGGAAACAAGCGTGCTTGTGCTCTCACTTTAAGGGGGAAGAGTGGGGAATTCCCTGGCGGTCCAGTGGTTAGGACTCAGCACTTTCACGGCGGCCGTGTGCCTGGTACAGTAACATACGAGAGAGAGTAAGGAATACAGGGTCTCCAGCTGAGAGGTACAGTTGGAGTAACGCCTTTAGGACTGCTATCCACCTAGAGCCTCCCAGTTTACAGGGTGACCTCAAATGAAGCCCATTCTTTCATTTGCTGCTCACGAGGGAGGTAGCCACAGCTGACCCACACTCTGCCCTGGTCAAGGCTTGCTAACAGGGAGCCGGTGTCCCCAAGCATGCTGCTCCATGACATCCTCTAAGTGTCCCCTGGTCTTGTACCTGCAGCCCCCTCCCCTCGCAACCTTAGAACTTTGGGACAATGGGACAGAACTCCTAAAACTGGGCTATTCTGGCTTTGCAGGGTAGAGTCCACAGTTACAGTCCACAGTCCACAGAACTGTGGTAGAGCCACAGTTCTTTGGATTCCAGGACCAGCTCACAAAGGGCAGTGTGAAGAGTGAGCACCACAACTGAAGGGTGAGTGAAGTGATGGGAGAACAAAGAGCAAGGTGCGTCCCTGGCTCTCAGGCTGGGGTTACTGGGTGGGGAGAAGGCCTGGTGGGGAGAGGGACCCCTGTGTGGGCCAGTCCTGGCTGGGCCCCAGACGTTCACACAGCGACCCTGCCCTCCCCTGCCTGTGGTCAGGCTTCCCTTGGACTATTAATTCCAGAACCAGGGCTCTGCTCTGGGGAAGGGACCCTGCTCTACACTCATCCCTCACCCCCCCTTCCCACCCACCACCCTAGACCGTTGCAGCATCCCTGGGCTGCACCTTCACGTGGAGGGCACCAGCTGCAGACTCCGACGGGCCACTTCCTTAGCAGGAGCCCTAAGGGCCGTGCCCATTCTCCATCCTCCTGGCTTATCCCCAGGGACCCCAGTCCCTCACTTTCTCTAAGCCTCAGGGGGTGCTCACTGTAACTACCCTCTCACTCCCCCTGAGGGCCCCTCACTTCACTGAACTCCACCTCGGGACTGTGAGTAACCTTAACGTCACACCTTCTGGAACCTCGACTTCACAGTCCTCAAAAGCCTCTGTGGAGCCCACCTCCCCTACCAGCCGGCGCCCCTCCTCTGGGGCTCAGAGCATCCCTTGCTGGCTACCCCCTCTCCAGAGCTTACCAGCGCCTCTGGGACTCCTCCCACCTCATCTTGCAAGAGCTGTTGGGCCAAAAGCAGCCCCTGCTGGAACCCATGCCCCACCGGGAGCGGCAGTCCTTCCAGTACAGGCTCTCCTCGCTCTACCTGTACTACCTGGGGCTGCTGCGCTGGTTCAACACCCTCTATGACCAGATGGTGCAGCGACGGCTGCTGGACGGCATGGCGGGCCGCGTGCTGGAGCTCAAAGACGATCTGGTTCGCGTGGACCTGTGCGAGACCCACTGCCTGGACCAAGCGCTGCAGGACTTAAAGCTCACCCCGGTGGGCCGGCTGCGGCGAGAACCATGCCCGCGCCAGCTGGGGGCGGGGACATGGGGGGAGGGCTAGCCTGGACCTCCCACTCCTTGTGGAAGCGAGCCACATCCCAGCCAGCTGGGGGTGGCGGTGACCTGGACCTCCTGCAGGTACCCCTGGCATTGGGACATCTGCAAGGGAAGGAGGACAGGGCAGATCAGAGGATGGGGTTTGGGAAGTGCATGTAGGTAGTTGGGGGGTAGCCGGAGGGTCAGGCTGGAGGCTCTGCCTGGCCGGGAGGACCCATGAACTCAACTGCAGGGGATTGGTGAAGAGAGTCCCCCAGAGGCTTGTTCCTCAAAGCGTGGTCGGTGGGCCAGCAGCACCAGCATCGCCTAGGAGCTTGTTAGAAATGCAGAACCTCTGGCTGCACCCCGAACCCACTACAGTATTCTGCACCTGCGTTTTCACAAGACCCTCAGGCGATGTGTGTGCACCAGCAAGTTCCAGAGCACAGAGCTTCTGCACCGGCCTCCAGTCCGCCCCAAGGTCATGGTTCACTGGTCCATGTCCAAGGCAGTCTCCAAGTTTCCCCAACTAGCTGCATCAGACTCAGCTGTGGACTTGAAAGAACAAACATTCTCCAGGCCCTGCCATTCTGCTGTGGTCAAGGCCTAGGAGCCTGCATTTTAAGAGATTCCCAGTTGATTCAGATGCACAGCCAGGATTGGGACCATTGCCCATTACCTACCACGATCCTACAGAATTCAACTCTGGCCACATGGTGGGGGTGAGGGAAGAGAGGGATTCCTCTTGGGGGGACCTGCCCGTAGCCTGGACTTTTCCCACCCCAGAGCTCTAGGATGGAAGAAAAGAGCCCCAGTGTCTGTGTGTACAGCTGAAAATGGTAAGGGATTGGCCAGATGGTCTGAATTTTTATTCTCATCTCCCTCTCCCCTGTTGCCCCAAAGGCAGACCTGGAGGTTCCAATTCCCAAATACTTCCAGCTGGAGCGGTCCAGCGTCCTGAGGGAGCGAGAGCATATGCTGGCAGAGCTCCTGTCCAGACGAGAGCCAGTGTTCGCCGAGGAGGTAAGTCAGGGAGACGCCCTCAGGAACAGAGCTGCCACCCTTCAGGACACAGAGGCCCTGCCCTGCACTTTGCCCACCTCTGGGTGCTCTCTGGGTAATCCCTGGCCTCCTCATGGCTGCTCTTATGCTCCTTGTAACCTTCCAACACCAAGGTAGAGGGACAGGACTTGTGCACCTAGATGCTCTGGGAAAACCTTACCCCTGGGATGTCTTTTGGGGGCTGGTCTCCCAGCTGCCCGCCTGGATGCAAGCCCTCCCTCATTTCCTCCTCCTTTGCCCCTGCTCTGGCCAGAGCTTTCCAATATTACCCCAGAAGGAGGCCATAATCCTACTGCAAAGGGCCGAGCGGGCCAGGCAAGGCAGGCTTCGAGCCACCTTCATGTGAGAGATTCGGAAAAAGGAGGAGGGAGATTGAAAGATTCGGGAGGAAGGGCAGCCCAGGTTCAGTCAGGACGAAGCAGCGATCATCATACAGAAGGTAACCCCCCACCGCCCTCACCCCCACCCTCCCCACACCCAGGAGGAAGGTCAGGGTAGAGTCGCCTCCTCCAGGAAGCCTGCCTGGCTCAGCAATTGATGACAGAAATGTAGGTGCTTGGACTCTGTTGCCCCATGACTAGATATTAAGCTAGAGACCTTCATCAGTCAATAAACATGTCTATTATTTGTTTATTATTTATTCTACATCTTATCCCCAAAAGGACTTAAAGTGGAATACCATAAAAGCCCCCAAAACAGAAAGACCATTAAAATTAGGGGAGAAAGGGAATTCCCTGGCAGTCCGGGGGTTAGGACTCCATGCTCTCACTGCCAAAGGCCCAGGCTCGATCCCTGGTCAGGGAACTAAAATTCCACAAGCTGCACCGCAGCCCCAAAAATTAAAAAATAATAATAATACAAAAATAAAAATAAAAAAATTAGGGGAGAAAGATCCATAATCCAGCAGCAGAACAGAGTAGATGATCATTCCAAAAACTTTTACGACTGTTAAAAATGAGTCCCTAACATGTATCCTGAGCCTGCTGAGGCAAAAGGAAACATGATGAACGAAATCGAGAACGGATGAGGTCCCGGTGCCTTTGGGGTCTGTGCCACCTGGGGTCACCCTTTACGTTAATCACACCCCATCCCACCTGACTACAGAAAACCCAGCTCTGTCTCTAGATTTCTCCGTGCCTTCTTACTGTCCTGGCGGGCGTGACTCTCCTGTGTCACCTGGCAGCCCTGCTGTCTGCCCTGGCGCGGGGGCATGGCCCCTCTAGCATCCCCCCAAGGGTGCTGTTAAGCCGGCTCACTCTGGGCCGTAGTGGTTACCAGCTTGACGAGATTGGAGGCTGCCTAGAAAACTCCAGGGCAGAAAGGGCCCAGGACTGCTGACCTAGGGCTGCTGGATCTTTCTCTCTTAAATCGATCTCCTCTCCCATCTTCTCTCTCAAGTCCCAGTGCCTCAGAAGTGTCTGTTTCCTAGTCCAATACAGGAAACTTAGAACTCTTTCCCCCCCAAATGCAAAAGCAAACCAATCAACTAACAAGCAACAGCCCTGAGAACAGACATCCTCTCCAAATGAGGTCGATTTTTAGGTTATAAATCAGTATGCAGAGAACCCCAGCCTGAGTTCCCTGCATCTGGGTGACTGTACCCAGGTCCGGCTGCCCCACGGATGAGCAGGGGGTCCTCGCCCTCAGGAAGCGTGGAAGCAAGCCTTTGGAGAAGGAAGGTCAGCCCCAAAGCTAGAGCTTCCCTTCCCCCTGAGAGCCAAAGCAAGTCTCTTGTCCCTTTTGTCAGACATCAAGGGTGTGGAAACACTGCGTTCCAGGCCCCGGGTTCCCCACTACACTCATCAGAGGCCCTTAGTTATCAGGGGCCTTTCCCGTGCTAGTCACAGGAACAGGAGGACGAAGTGGGACGGGGGCCTGGACGCAGAGCCTGCTCACCGAGGCGCTGTCTCAGTGACACTACCAGGGCGACGCCATGGCCCCCTCTGCCCAGCACCCACCCTTCACCCCATGGCACTGGGGTGTCCACGGGTCCGAGAGTGGCCGGCAGCCTGGGAGAGAAGCATTGGGTGAGGGGTCAGGAAACCTGGCCCTGGTCTCGGCTCTGCACCGAACAGCCCTTGGACTTGGGAGAGGCCATGTCCCGGCTCTGGCCTCAGTTTCCTTGTGTCCAAGATGTAGGGGAGCTGCACAGTTCCTACAGCGCCCACGTCTATGTGCCTGGGTGGAATCAAGCATTTCTTCCAAATGCTGGGGGGATTCTGAGAAGTGAGATCAGGGAGGGCTTCTCGGCGAAGGTGGTACTTGAACTCTGATTTGTGCTTCAAAAGATACAGCAGGTTAGAAGGTGGAGATGAGAAGGAGGGGATTCCGGGGCATGGGGTGCTGAGGAGACACAGCCTTGGAGCTGGACACCTTGGGTGCAGACGGGCCCCACCCCGCTCTGGGCTATCCCTGCTCAGGGGGGCAGTTGCCAGTGAGCTGTCCTCTGGAGGTGCCCTCCCCAGAGCTCTGCCCCTCACGTCTCAGCAGAAATGCAGTATGGGCAGTGTCTGGGCGCATGTATCCCTGGGTGTGGAAAGATTACCAGCAGAGGAAACGCACTCAGCAGGACCGGCGGACGAGATGGAGTTCATCGGCATGGTGAGTGCCCCCCTCCCCGGCCCTGTACAGCCCCTCCCTGCCCACACCCCCGTCCACTCAGGACTGGGGTGGGCATGAGCAGAGGGGGGCCAGGCTGGGGCCAGTGTCCCTGGTTGAGGGATCCTTCAGGGTTTGGTTGAGGGAGAACCACGAAGCCACTGCCAGGGCACATCCCTTTCCGCCCCTCCCTCTCTGGAGCCCTTTGGAAGGAACTCACACGTGGGGCGGCGTGAGGGATAGTAGCCCCGAACATCTGGACCCCTGCTCCATGCCCCCAGCTGGCAGGAGAGGCTGCAGTGAGTGGGTCCCGCAGAGGGAGGCGGCCGCAAAGCCAGTGGGAGCTCCGCCAAGGCTCTTGCAGCCTCTGGGAGAAGCACGGGAGGCTCAGTTGGGATGAGGACACACCCCTTTCACACCAGAGTGGGCCACTTGCTCTGGGGGCCCCAGACTTGCTTCTCCTCTGCTCTGCAGGCAGGATGGCTAAGTCTGAACAAGGTGCCGGGGAGTGTGGGCGGCAGGGGTGCGCGTGTCCAGGCAGGGTGGGCAGACCCCGCTCCCTGAACCTCGTCTGTCCTCTGCTCTGTGATGGTCTGCCCCCAGCTAATCTCTGCTGACTTAGGAGAGCAAGGCCATGGTAGAGGTGAGAGGCCTGATCCCTGAGAGGGGGCTTGGCCATGGGCAGAGCCTGCAGAAGCCCAGCGGATAAAGGCTGATGGGGAGGGCCATGGGCTGGGGGGGCAGAGGAATCGGAGACAAGGGCTGGGATGGCTGCTCCAAGGAGGGCGGACGGCGGCTTAGAAGGAGGGAGGGGCCCGGGTGGCAGCTGCGTGGGAGTGGAGGTCCGAGCTCACTGGGGGGCCGGAGAGCTAGACCCCCAGGAGGCCAGAGCAGGCCGAGGGAGGCCGGGCTTGGGCCTTGGCGGGGCAAGGGCAGGGGGCCACGGCACGGCGGTGGGTGAGGAATGAGCCCGGCCGCCCGGGCCCATCAACATGTGAGCTCAGCGTTTTCAGTAATTGTCTCTGCGCAGAGAGATATTTAAAATACATTTGGGAGCCAATGAGGCGGGAAAGTGGCTGCGAGAGCGGCTGCCGGGCGGGGGGAGGGGGTGCAGGGTGGGGGGCCGGAGGTTCACAGGGGAGGGTGTGCTGGGGGGAGCGGGCAGCGGGGCCGGCCCGGATGCATCTAGCAAACTCATTATCAGAGTAATTTACGCAGACGAGTTTCAGGCTCCAAACACAATTTCTCCTGCTGCAGGCATGCCCGCTGTTCCGTGTGGGTGTGTACGCGAGGCCTCGCCTGTGCGGGGCTGTGTGCCGGGGGCCGGGCCTCCCCACTCCCACCCCTGAGCCCCTCTGTCTCCCCGTGCACGTCCCCAGCTCCCCTCGTCCAGCCAGGCGGAGCAGTCGGACGTCATGTCCCAGGCCAGCCTCAGGGGGGATGTCCGGAGACTCCTCCAGACGGAGAAGGAGTTCCAGTCAGCCGTGGTGAAGACCCACGATGCCCTCAGGGAGACGGAGGGGCCCGACATGAAAGAGAAAATGAAGGGGCAAATCCGAGTGCCATCAGCCTCAGCTGACCCAACCCTGAGCCCTTCTTTCCCTCCTCATCCCAGTGTTGAACCCCACTTCTGTTTTGTCCTTTGGTCCAGATTGGATTCTCTTCACCATCCCCCGCCACGCCCCGACACGCTGCTGACACACTTGGTTTAAACCTGGGGCCCCCAGCCTACAGGAACAGCACCACACGTGACTTCCCATTCCCCAGATGGCAGAGAAAATGCCAGAATAAGATGGGAAAAGCATCCAGGGACGCCCCCTGACTAGTCTCCCCTCTATTCTGTAACTATCCACTCCTTCCCTCTCTCCCTCTATCTCCCTGGTCCTTCATCTTTCTCCATCCTTCCCTCTATCCATCTATCCATTCATCCACCCACCCTTTCTGCCACCCGTCTATCTAACCATTCATCAATCCATTTATCCTTCTGTTCCTCCACCCATCCGTCCACCCATCCATCCATCTGTCCATCCATCCATCCATCCGTCCACCCATCCATCCATCCATCCATCCATCCACCCATCCATCCATCCACCCATCATCCGTCCACCCATCCATCCACCCATCCGTCCACCCATCCATCCATCTGTCCATCCACCCATCCATCCACCCATCCGTCCATCCATCCATCCATCCATCCATCCATCCATCCATCCATCCATCCACCCATCCACCCATCCATCCATCCACCCATCCATCCATCTGTCTCTCCAACCATGTTACGTTCATTCAGTGCCTTTACTGGCCGATTCCCTGATTATCCAGGTGAGTCTTTAGGTGGATCCTACCTGATCTTTGCAGACAAGACTCCAGAACAGGTACCGTGGAGCTGGGGATAGAAGACTTTCTATGGTAGGTGGAATCTGAGGTTACAGAGAGTTCTGGGCGTAAGCTGAGGGTGGCAGGGGGTGAGGCCACCCTCAGTAGAGGCAGACGTGGTGGAGGAGATGTACGTAGCCAGTGTGATTGCATGGGGAGGAGGGGATACCCAGAAGAAGCTGGAGAAGGCTTCTTAGCCAGCGAGAGGAAACATGTCTGGTGAGAGCACCGTGGCTCCAGGCCCCTGTGGGCTGGGAGAGCAGCAGCTCTGAGCAGAGCACTCCCTCAGTTGCACCCCTTTCTTCCTGGACCCCAGTCAAGTGTCTGGACTCTCAGTGCCTGGATCCCACCAGTGACGCTGGGCCTTTGGAGTCCTGGGTCCACCCCTAGCTCAGGCCCTTGGTTCTCTTGCTCCTATCAAATCCCTGTCGTCTTCTCTGAAACATCTTCCCTTGTTTGTCACAGTTGAAAATGGAACTGGAGGTGCAGGTCCAGGAGAGCAAAAAAAAAGGACAAAAAGAAAAGTAAGGGAAAAGAAAAGGAGAAAAAAGAGAAAAAGAAGAAGAAAAGGAAGGGAGAAATGACCAGGAAGGGGTAAGGCACTGCCTGGACTCATGGACCAGGTGGGCAGGGACAGAAGCTCAGAGAATTCCCAGGGGAAGGCTGGTCCTGGGAGAATCAGGGCCAGAGTTTGTGATGCGTAGAGGTGAGGGGGTCAAAGCCGAAGGATGGGGGACTTCCCTGGCAGTCCAGTGGTTAAGACTTCACCTTCCAATTCAGGGGGTGTGGGGTTGATCCCTGGTCAGGGAGCTAAGATCCCACATGCCTCGGGGCCAAAAAACCCAAAACATAAAACAGAAGCAATATTGTACAAACCCAATAAAGACTTTACAGATGGTCCACATCGAAAGAAATCTTTAGGGCTTCCCTGGTGGCACAGTGGTTCAGAATCTGCCTGCTGATGCAGGGGACACGGGTTCGAGCCCTGGTCTGGGAAGATCCCACATGCGGCGGAGCAACTAAGCCCGTGCGCCACAACTACTGAGCCTGCGCTCTAGAGCTCGCGAGCCACAGCTACTGAGCCCATGAGCCGCATCTCCTGAAGCCCACGTGCTCTAGAGCCTGTGCTCCACAATGAGAGAAGCCACCGCAATGAGAAGCCCGCGCACCGCAAACGAAGAGTAGCCCCCGCTCGCCGCAACTAGAGAAAGCCCGCGTGGCAATGAAGACCCAACACAGCCAAAAATCATAAACAAAAATAAATAAATTTTTGAAAAAAAGAAATCTTAAAAAAAAAAAGCCGAAGGATGTTTCTGTTCTAGGAAGCAGATACGATGCTGAGAGTACTGCCCTCCAAACCCATCCCTGTGATTAATGCCGGACACGAGGAGTACACAGGTGAGAGAGGAGGGACTGGGGAAGAGTGACCAGGCCTGTGGGGTCTTGGGGTGACCTTGGTCCTGGGGACAGTGGACCTGTGCCATGTATCATGAGGTGGCAGTGTCAGAGTGTGGGTGTGGAGGCCAAGGGGAGAAGGCTAAAGGGGAGAGGGGTGTGAGGTGTGATTCCCTGGGTTGGGGGCATTATGCGTTTGGGTCTGAATCCTGCGGCCACAGGCCTTGGGATCAGGCCTTGGTCCGTGGTCTGGGTGGAAGCGTCAGGCAGCTCGGTGAGGAGAGGTGGACCAGCGCGTGTGTACGCACGTGTGAGATTATTTGTGCATGTGGGTGTGAGTGCGTGTGTGCACCTGGAACCCTGACACTGCGTTGCACTCCAACCTCTCCACGGTCAGATCTGTGGAAGAACCGATTTGATAGCCTACATCCCAGAGTTTTGACTCTGAGATCCTCCAGGTAGAGAAGAGGAAGGAAGTGGAGCAAGAGACCAGCCTCCCGCCCGCCACCCGCTGCAGCACGCTCTACGCACTGCCTGCCCCGCGCAGTCCGGGCTCCGTCTGGTCCATCTCGGTCCTCATCCTCCTCTGCCTCTCCTTGGTCACCCTTTTTCCCTGGGGTGTGGATGGAACCCTGACGTGAGGGAATGGCAGTGGCTCTGAGCCCGGGGTCACACCCTCCACCCTCCTGACTGACACTTTGAGGGCTCCCTGAGGCGTGCCAGCCCTGTGCCGCGCACTCTGGAAGCATCCACTCACACAATCTTTCCAACAAAGCGTGAGGCAGGCCCCGTGATTTTCCTGACATTATATATGAGAAAGCTGAGGCTGAGAGGTCATGAAATTGCTCAAGGTCACACAGACTTTAAAGAGTGGATCTGGGGCTGGAACTGAAAGCTGACCGACTCCATCTTGGGGGCTCCTCCCCACACTGATGCCAGCTGAGAGCAAGGCTCAGGCGTGAGGTGTGAATCAGAGTTGGGGTGCAGGGGCTGAGGGTTCCAAAAGAACGACCCCCCTGCCCTGCTGCCTTCACTGGGCTTGTCTGGCTCTTCCCTGAGGTGCCCCTCCACCCCGACTCAGTCCTCACCCTCCTACCTGTCCTCTCCAGCCCCTGGTCGCCCCATCACACCCCCTGCTGTCCCCCCAGGTAAATGAGCTGATGCATCAGGAGCTGAAGAGCCTGCGGCTGGCTGCGGTCAGGGAGGAGGGGAGATCTTCTAAGTCTCCGAAGGCAAGATGAGGGGCCAGGGCTGGCACAAGGAAGGGCACACGCCAGGGAGGCAAGGAACAGAAGACAACTGCCTGTGTGTTTGCTTTCAACCAGAAAAAGGTGGGCATGAAACCTGAGAAGAGGAAGAAAGAAAAAGATCTGACCCCAGACAGGTAGCAGACCCTGCGCTTCACCAGGGGCGGTGGAGCGAGCCCTGGCCCGGGACAGATCTGACTTCCGGTCCTGGTTCTGTTGCTGTGTGACCTGGGGAAAGTCACTTAACCTCTCTGATCCCCTGCCCTCATTAACCACGTACCTACCCTACCAAACTCACGGGCTAGCTGTGAGGATAAAGCAGAAGCACAAAAAAGTGCTTTGAAAGTGATGACGCAGAGCTTACCAGAGGTCGCTTTCTACTCCCTTCTCTGGTGATGCAAGCCCACTGGCGCTGGCTGCCTTCATGGCCATCCCTCCCAGGAGCATGTACATCTTCAATGTGGTTTCTAGGAAGAGGGCCATGTGTCACCCACACCGGGTTTTTAGAGAGAGGGTCTCAGAGGGCTCTGGTCCTTCTCCACCCCGTTCAACCCCCAGAGCACCCACCTGGGGCAAACTGCCTTCTGGGCCAGTGGGCCGGTGTCGGGCCTTTGGAGATGGCTGACGACAGGACTTTGGACAGGAGGGCTCCCTACCCCTCTCCTCATGCCTACAGCACCGCCCCAACCCATCTCTGTGTCCCTTTCCCTTTTCCTCGGGGCCCCCGCTGCGCCATCCTCTGCCAGGTCTGTGGACTCCCTGTTTGAAGAACTCATCATCTTTGGCCTTCTACAGAAGTGCGAGACACCGGCTTTGAAAGACTATGTTGGTGAGAGCCCTCCGCAGCGCCTGCTCCCGAGGTTAAGGAATGGTGCCCCTGGCCATGGCCTTCCCCGCAGCCGACTGCCACCTCCCCAGGGACCCTTCTCCTCGCGTGCCCTGCCCCAGTGGGTGCCACTCACCAGCGGGCCACCTGTCCCACCTGCCTCTGTCTTGGATCGACTCTGAATTTGGCAAACAAGCTGCCTATGCCTTCCCTGTTTGACATACGACAGAACGTGGCCTTGTATGGGGTTCTGCGGCTTGGTGAAAGGCAAGAGCCAGTGCCGGGCAGGTGGCTCTCGGGGAGGCTGGGTGCAGGGTAGGGTGGCCGAGGCAGGCGTGTCCAGCCTGGGCTTCCTAATCCCAGTGCCATGAACTCATGTCGGACTCACCCCCCTTCCCCGGGCTCTGCTGGAGGTCACACCCCGACTGGGCTGTCCTGGAAGTCATGTGGGCCCTCGACCTGCTGAGGGGCCACATTTCCAGCCCCTCGCTCAATCCCAAGTGACGTCCCATAGTCTGTCCCATTCCCCGAAGACCAGCCCCCCACCCCCTAGAAACACCAGAGACCGGATCTTTCTGAAGTGGTTTGTCACGTGCCCTTTAATTCCATCCCTTCAAAATCCAGGAGTGAAAACAGATGGTATAGGAAGCAGAAGGGCCATTGGGAGGAGGTGGAGGGCTTTCTCCTGACACCGCGTGGAGCTCTTTGGAATCATGGTTGCTACACCGTTGGACTTCCTCTAGGGCGCCTCCCACAGAGGGCATGCCTGGGGCGTTGCCCAGACCCTAGGCGAAAGCAGTGCCACCAGGACCCGAACCTCGTCCTGCCCAGCCTGGGGCCTTTGGCCTCACCTGACACAACGTCTCCACCCCTGACCCCCTGCCGGCCCCCTGCCGGCCCCTGTTTCCTCTCTCAGGCTCCCCAGACATACACTCCATGGCCCCCCTCATCTGCTCCGTCCTCCTGGTGGGCCCCTCGGGCATGGGGAAGAAGACGCTGGTCAAGGCCGTGTGCACGGAAACCAGTGCCAACCTTTTCGACCTGTCACCTGGCAACCTGCAGGGCAAATGTCCCGGCAAGACCTGGGTGCAGACGTGGGTGCATATCGTCTTTAAGGTCTGGGTCCCCGACGGCATTTCTACTTCTCAGACTGTGACAACAGAGCAGGGTGGGCTCAGGAGGTCACCCAGCTGCCCGGTTGGTGTAGTTTCAGGAGCTGGTGAGGTCTCCCTACCAATCCCTGCTGGAGGCTCGTGGATTCCTGAAGCCCCAGGGATGGGGGAGGTGAGGGGAAGTGGGGAGAAGAGTAGTTTCTTCTCATGGCAGAGATGAGGCTGCACACGTAGCCCCCCGAGCCCGGCGAGGGCAGGGACTCTGTTGTGATGATATGATGGGTATACAAGGGGCTGAGAGGTGGGGTTCGCAGGATGTGGGAAGCGAGGCTGGAGCTCTGAGGTCCGCCATTGCCCGAGGCTGGCCCTGACCCTGGGTTGGACCAGATGGGGAGGTGACCCTTCCCCAGGGACAGCTAATGTCAGTTTTCTATTCTCTGACCTGTCCAGTTGGCTCGGTACCTACAGCCCTCTGGATTGGGAATGCGGAGAAGAATTTCTATAAGCGAGTCCCAAAAAAAGACAAGGAGGTGAGTGAGGGAGTCTGGGCAGAGCCCGTGGGCAGGACAGGCGAGCATGGGCTTGTTCATGTCACTCCAAACCTCGCCCGCTGTGAGGCCTTGGACAAGTCCCCTGTCCTCCTCCTGCCTTGTTTCTTTATCCTTAAAGCAGGACTGACAGCCCCTCCCGTCTGCCCCCCCAGGGTCCATATGAGGCGGAGCATGGGCACATGCCCTGTGAATTAGAAGCCCCTATAATGTCACTGTGTCCCCACCCACCTCCCCTCCTTCCCCAGAGCAGATGGACCCCAAGCGAATAAAGAAGGACCTCACCAAGGCCCTGCGACTGCTGAATCCTGGAGACCGCGCGAAGCTGATCGGGACCACTGACCGGCCGCAGGCGCCTGAGATGAAGGGGCTGTGCCGCACCTACGAGCGGATCCTCCTGCCGCGGCCCGATTACGCTTCTCGCTGTGGTGAGGCCCTGGGACTTGGGGACAGAAGAGAAGGGGTCGAGGGGCCGCCCCTGCCGAAGCTCCCCGCTTCTTCCCATCCCCACTGCTCTGAGGCCTCACCTCCACAGCCAGGTGTTCTGGAAGTGTCACTGGATAAGCGGCCCAGCGGTCTGGGTCCTGGCCTGGTTCTGTAGACACAGGCAGGCCGCTTTAGTCTTTGGAGTCTCACTTTCCCAGGTTAAGAGGGGAGGCTGACCCTTACCTTCCTGGGAGGAGAGGTGCGGTTGCACGTAGGGCCGCCCTCCAGAAGCACAAACTCTTTCCAGATACAGACAGAAGCGCCCACTGCCTCTCCCTGCCCCGTGTCCTCCCCCCACGCCCACAGTGCTCTGGAAGCATATGACAGAGGTCCAGGGGGTCCAGGTGACCCAGAGCCTGGACATCAGTGCCCTGGCCAAGGTGGCCGATGGCTACACACCTGGCTGCGTGTTCCAAGCCATCCAAGCAGTGCTGACGGAACGGCGGCTCCTGCAATTGTCCAAGAGGCCCCTGGTGGCCTCAGAGATCCTGCGGCACCTGGCGAAGCTGGACCCGGTGTACAGGGAGGAGGAGGAGTCCCTGGAGGCGGGGCTTTGGGTGGGGATGGGGTGGGGGGAGGGGTAGGCGGGGAGGAGGGCTGAGGGCCAGCACCAGTTAGGGAGTCGGTCCTCTGAAGCCCCAGGCTCACAGCCCACTTTGGAGCCCCCCCTCTGCTCCCCGTGGAGCTCAGCTGGGAAGGGAAGAAGAATCAGGAGAAGGACAGGTGGGCAGGGCTGTCTCACCTGGTTTCCTCGACTTGGGGGGAGGGGGGAGTCCGAGAGCGGCACCTGCGTATTGGGAGCCCTTGGTTGGTTCCTGCACCAGCAGCTACTCACGTCCCCACCTCTGAATCCCTTCCCACCCCCAGGGATGGCCGTGGAAGCACAGGAGAGAGGGCTGCAGGGCAGGGGAGGGGGGCTCGCCCCTGACAGTGGCTGGCACGCTGGCCTAGAGTATTTGGTGAAGAGCAAGGGGAACCACGACTCTAGCAGGATGCAAGGACCCCAGAGGAGAGCTGAGGACACAGACCCGTCTAAAGGGAAGGGCAGGGCCAGGGAGCAGAGCCGAGGGTCAGAGCCAGTGCACCTACCGTTCCTCCTCTGCCTCCAAACCAGGACTGGTACTTCAAGACCCCGCTGGGCGAGAAGAGGATGAAACTCATCAAGGACCAAGACGCCGCCGAGGAAGCCAAGCTGGCAAAGGAGGAGAAGAAAAGGAAGTGATGCTGAGGCCGGAGTGCCTGAGATTAGCGATGGGACGGTGGGGGGGGGGACCCCACAGGCGAAGGGGCCAGGGGCAGAGGGATAAATGGCCAGACGGCGCGGGCACCTGCTCTCTTTGCCCATCTCCATGCTTCCCGTCCCTGGCTCTGTGCCCCTGCCCGCGCCCAACCTCTCCCGACCTCCCATGCAGACCCCACCTGGGTCTTCACCTCCTGTCATTCTCCTGTCCTGTCTCCCCAGCTCTCTTCCTCCTCGAGGTATTTCAGGGAGAAAAACAAGAAAAGAAAGACAAAGGGAAAGAGGAGAGAGGGGAGAGAGAAGGTCTGTAGTAAGTATGGAAAAAGAAAAAAGCCAGAGTCTGGGCGCCAGTGGACCCTGGTTCTAGCCCCACTTGGCACGAACCTCCTGTGGTCTTGCACGGTACTTTCCTGTCTCTGGGCCTCAGTTTCCCTGCCTGCGGAGTGAGGAGACGTTGGATCCGCTAACCTACAAGGTCCCTTCTACTCTAGGGTTTGGTTATTTCTACAAGAGTGTCTGGGAAGTCGGGGAGGTGAGGGCTCTAGGGCAGCAGTTGGGTGGGGTGAAGTGGGGAGAGAAGGTTCTAGGGAAAAAGGCTGTAGGGAAAGGCAGGCGTTTGTGGCCACAGCAAGGGCTGCGGGTAGATCCAGTGCCTTCTATGCGAATGCTCCACCGCTTTCCTCTGGACACCACCCCTCCCCCCCCCACCTGCCCAAGCTCTGCACTGCTTGCTCTGACCCACGGGGGGCTTGCAGGGGTCACAGCCTCCTGCCCCTGGTGGAAGTCCACCCGCGAGCTCCCCTTGTTGTGGGAGCTGGAGTCGGGGAACTCGGGGAGCAGGGGACAACCATGCCACCGAGGGCTGGGAGCCCCAGAGTTCTCTCCGAAGAAGCCTGGTAAGGAATGTGTGAATAGAGGTCAAAGCGTGTTCTACGTGTCATGAGAGCCAGGTGAGGGGAGACAGCTGGGTTGGTGCAAGGAGGCCCTGTGCTGGGCAGTGGTCCCCAGGGGCTGGGTTTTGAATGTCCTTTCTCCCCTTTCCCCTTTTCACCTCCCCAGGTGGGAGTAGTCTCATCATCCACCCTCAGGTGCCCGAATGGGCAGAGCCACTTCCTCCTCACTCTCCAGGTAGCGATGCCACGGGAGCCCCTGGGGCCACCCAGGGAGAGGGGGGTCAGCACCGAGGTGGGCTGCCTGGAGGCCAAGCCCTCTTTCCCCTGCACAGAAGCCCGTCTTCCAGAGAACCCCTGGAGGGGATTCCTCACAGAGTAGGGTGTTCTCTGCTGTTGGTCCCTGCTGTCCCCCTCCCTTGCATTTGGAAGTGGGGAGGTGTGGGGCTAATTGGTGGCATTTGGGAAGGCAGGAGAAATTATCTGGTACCCACGCGCCCTCCCTCTGGGATCAGAGCCCCGGCCGCTGGAGGCCAGTGTGGTGAAGTACAGGATAGATGAGAACGAGGGAGAAAAGGGCAGCTTGAAAGCCCCATCCCCCATCCCCACCCCCACCCCTGCAACAAGGTGTCACACCTTGGCCGAAGCCCTCCCCGCCTCTGGGCTCCATTTTCCTTTACCTCTGAAATTGTGGATTGGACACCAGGTCTGGGTGGTCCGTTCAACCCTGCTGCATGCAGCTCAGGGTCGGAGGGCCCCACCCTAATTCCCAGCCCCAGACTGACGCCTCCTTCCCTGACGCTGACAGCTAGGATGTCCGGGCTATTCAAGGGCTATTTGTGGCGTGGCCTCTGTGTGCTCCCTGCCCCTCCCACACCGGACCTGCGCCTGGCTTGGGCCCAGCACCTGCCCACCCAGTCCGCCAGCGGCATCGCCCTGTGTCCTGCCGCTTGGGCTCTCTCTCCCTGAAACTGGCCATGCCAGGGAGAAGGAGCTCCCCTCCCCACTGGGGACACCGTCTGGGGTGCCTCCGTTCGGCCTCAGCCTGCCGGGTCTGGGGTCCCCGGTCCTGCCCAGCCCGGGAGGCCCCTCAGCGCTCGCCGCTGCTGTGCCGGGACATGGCGCTGCAGAACGCCCTGTACACGGGAGACCTGGCGCGGCTGCAGGAGCTGTTCCCCCCGCACAGCACAGCCGACTTGCTGCTGGAGAGCCGGGCGGCCGAGCCTCGCTGGATCAGCCACCAGAGGGGTGAGGGGCGGCCGGGGGACACGGGGCTGAGGGCGGGGGGCCTGGGCGGACCGCACCAGGCGCAGAGGTACCAGGTGCTTGAGGACGAAGTGTGCTCCCGGGCTGTTTCTCTCCCACCCTGAGGCTTGCCTAAACCTTGGCCCGGGAGAGAAGTCATGCGGAGCCTAGAATAGCTCCGGCTGAGCCCAGGGGCCAGGTCAGGCGAGGCTCCGCACACGGAGACACTCTCCTTGCGTCTGTTCCTGTCCCCTCCTCCTCTCCTCCTCTCTGCCTTTGGCCCCTACCTCTCCTCCCCGAGCCCCCAGCCCCCTTCCCCCACGCTCCCACGCTGCCCTCATGAGCTGGTCCCCAGAAGAGTGCAGGGAGCACGGCGAGCCCCCTGGTGACCGACATGCCCTCTGTGCCAGGCTGGTGGAGAAGCCCAGCGGAGGGTCTGCCGAGCGCCGGGAGGCAGGCCCGAGACCCATCGTCACACGCGCGGCCTCGGGACCCGCCCTGGCCTTCTGGCAGGCGGTGCTGGCCGGGGATGTGGGCTCTGTCTCCTGCATCCTCGCCGACTCCAGCACCGGCCTGGCTGCGGACTCCGTCTTTGATACCAGCGACCCAGAGCGATGGAGGGATTTCCGCTTCAACATCCGTGCTCTGAGTACGGGCCAGGGACACTGGGGGGTCTGAGCGGGAGAGGGAAGCCTGGGGAAGGAGCTCTGGGCTCCCTCTTCCTGGCCTCCGCCCACCTCCCCCGTTCGTTGCCTGGCAGCTCCTTGCCTCCCTCCAGGGTCTGAGGCCCAGGTCCCGTCTCTCCCTAGGACTCTGGTCGCTGACGTACAAAGAGGAGCTGACCACCCCACTGCACGTGGCGGCCAGCCGGGGCCACACAGAGATCCTGCAGCTGCTGCTGAGGCGGAGGGCGAGGCCAGACAGTGCCCCTGGGGGCCGCACCGCCCTGCACGAGGCCTGTGCCGCAGGCCACGCTGCCTGCGCGCATGTGCTGCTGGTGGCCGGAGCCGACCCCAACATCCCTGACCAGGATGGGAAGCGCCCCTTGCACCTCTGCGGGGCGGCCGGCAGCCTCGAGTGAGTGACCCCTCGCCTCAACCCCCATTCCACTCGTAGGGGAGGCAAAGAGACGAGCGCAGGGAGGATGAGGGAGCGCGTCGAGGGCTGGCAGGCCTGGTGAGCTGGGGCTCAGGTGGGAGTCAGGATGCGATTTCCCCCCAAGCCATCCTACCACTGGCCTGGTGAGCTTTGGAATGGCCTGTCCTTGCACCAGCTTCTGCCTCCCCAGGGCCGGAGGAGAGCTGTAGCAGGGCCCGGCTGCGTGGCTGGCACGGGGGAAGTTGTGGCTCCTTTATGGGGAAGTGGTGTAAAGTTTTCATTTTTCTGAGCTTATGTCCCAGGCACCGTGCATAGTACAGCAGTAAATAAGGCACGATTCTGCCCTCAGGGAACTGACTGTCCAGTGATCCAGATAGGCTGTCGAGGATAGCAGGCCCCCAGTTAGGGCCTGTGGTGGTCCTTGAGGGCAGGGTCTGGTTCTCAGCTTGGCAGGTCTGGCGTTTCCATATTGGCAGGCACCCTCAGATAAATGGGCTCGGGGACTGAGCCCAGCTAACCAGACTCACAAGAAACCAATGGCTATACCCAAATGTAATAATGTGTTATTTACTGTAGAGGACATTCCTTTACAGTGACCCAAATAATTGTGCCCTATGTGGAGGGGACCTTGGAGAATGAGTCCTCATAATTTTTTGATGAATCTGGAAGCCCGGAAAAGGGAGCCTTGGCAGATCTATGAACTAACTGTATGTACGACAGAGGCCTTCTCTCTACTGACGACACACCTGCCAAATTTCACATCTTGCCCCTGAATGGTGCCACAGTTTTGATCCTTGGGTCCCCCTTTCGTGGACCTTCTTCCTCCTGTTAGCCTCATCGTCCCTCAGAGGATGCTACCGACTTCCTCGTGTTATGGTTGGAGATGTGTTCTACATCAGCGTGGTCCAATACAAATACGCCATGAGCCACGTATGTAATTTAAAATTTTCTAGTAGCCCTACCAAGGCATGAAAAAGAAACAGGTGAAATTCATGTTTAAATCGTGGCGAATTACACGTCACATAAAATTTACCATCTTAACCATTACTCAGTGAACAGTTCAGTGGCACTAAGTACATTCACATTGTTGTGCGACCATCACCACCATCCAATGCCTGAACTTTTTAATCTCGCCGAACTGAAATTCTGTATCCTTTGAACAATAACTCGCCCTCCCCCTCCCCCCCAGCCCCTGGCAACTACCGTCTACTTTCTGAGCCTATGAATCAGACTGCTTTCAGCACCTCTGATAAGGGGAATCATACAGTATTTGTCCTATTGTGACTGCCTTATTCCGTTTAGCATAACGTCCTCAGGTTCATCCAGGCTGTAGCACGTAACAGAATTTCCTTCCCTTTTAAAGGCTGACTAATATTCCATGGGATAGATCACATTTTATTTATCCATTCCTCTATTGATGGACATTTAGAGTGCTCCCATGTTTTGGCTATCGTGAATAATGCTGCTATGAACATGGGTGTATAAATATCTGTGAATCAAGTGAAATTAATTTTAATAATATATTTTATTTAGCACAATGTATCCAAAATGTCATCATTGGGCTTCCCTGGTGGCGCAGCGGTTGGGAGTCCGCCTGCCGATGCAGGGGACGCGGGTTCGTGCCCCGGTCCGGGAAGATCCCACATGCCACGGAGCGGCTGGGCCCGTGAGCCATGGCCGCTGAGCCTGCGCGTCTGGAGCCTGTGCCCGCAACGGGAGAGGCCACAACAGTGAGAGGCCCGCGTACTGCAAAAACAAAAAAAAATGTCATCATTTCAACATGGAACCAATATAAAAAGAACACGTGAGACACTTCACATTCTCTTTTTGTACCGAGTCTTCAATTGGTGTGTATTTTGCACTCACAGCACGTCTCCATCAGGACTAGCCGTCCTGCAAGGGCTCGGTGGCCGCACGTAGCCGGTGGCCACTGATTGGACGATGCTGTTCTGTGCAATCCCACGTTCTTTGGCCGTGTTTCAGCCCAGGCTCCCTGAGATCACACTTTGTGACAATCATTGCTTCCTTTTTTGAATAAGCAAGTGCATTTTTAAAATTATTTTGGAGAATTTCAAACATATAGAAAGGTGGACAGGATAATATAATGAGCCCCCACGATCCACCACCATCTATGCCACCCACTGTCCCCACCCAACGAGGCCATTATGAACTCTCATGCTGACAGCTTTTCAGGCATTGTCTTATATGCCACTCACAGCAACCTCTTCGGTCTAGGTATCAGCAATTATCCCCATTCTATAGATGAGGAAAGTGTCACTCGAAGACGCTAAGTTCCCTTAGCCTTGAATTTAAGGGCACGCATCTTGGCAGGCGTACACAGTCTTCTGAGAGGACCATCCTGGAGCAGATCTGGCGGCCGATTTTGGTTTTGGTCTTTCTCCCACTGCCCCAGTTTCCATTTGTGCTCACTTCTGCGTCCCCTTCCCCCCTCCTCCTCCCGTCCCAGCACGCAGAGCCCTGGCTTGAGAGAGGGCACTAAAGATGCTGCAGGATGTTGCTGGATGCCCAGTGCCAGCCAGGATGGAAGGAGCAGACAGCACCAGGAGCCACCCAAGGGTCCCCCCAGGTTTGCTTTGCTCAGACCGGCAGGAACACAGGGGTGAAGGTCTGCACCCCGTTTTCCTCCCCTCGGCCGTCTCGCCCTTACTAGGTGTGCAGAGCTGCTCCTGAGGTTTGGAGCAAAAGTGGATGGTCGGTCCGAAGAAGAGGAGGAGACCCCTTTGCATGTGGCCGCCCGGCTGGGCCACGTGGAGCTGGCAGACCTACTTCTAAGACGGGGAGCATGTTCCAATGCCCGCGATGCTGAAGGCTGGACCCCGCTGCTGGCCGCCTGCGACGCCCGCTGCACGTCCCCCGCTGACGCCGAGGCCACCACCGCCCACTGCCTCCAGCTGTGCCGCTTGCTGCTCTCGGCCGGGGCCGACGCCGACGCTGCTGATCAGGACAGGCGGCGGCCCCTGCACCTGGCCTGTCGCCGAGGCCATGCGGACGTCGTGGAGCTGCTCCTGTCCTGCGGCGTCAGTGCCAACGCCATGGACTATGGGGGACACACGGCCCTGCACTACGCGCTGCAGGGCCCGGCTGCAGCCCTGGCCCAGGGCCCCGAGCACACGGTGCGGGCGCTGCTCAACCACGGTGCCGTCCGCGTGTGGCCTGGGGCTCTCCCCAAGGTACGGGGCTAGGGCCCGAGGGAGGGCCATGAGAGCGAGGGCACGGGGAGACCCAGACCTGTGCTCCATCTTGCTCTGGGTGCAGCTCCAAACTTGGGCACATAGGTCAGTACTTTGTCTTTCATTCATCATGTAAGCAAAGCCCAACGGGGGGCAAACAGCACACCGGCGGGAGGGGTGTATGCGTGTGTGCGTGCACACACGTATATACACTGTGTGTATGCATATAACGTGTTTGTACGTGCGTATGTGTTTGCATGTATGTGTGATGAAGGGAGACTGAGGGCACTGGGGCCAGATTATAAAGGAGCTGAAAAGACAGAAGGAGCCAGGACTGATGAGGGTGGCAGGGAGTCGTTTCTTCATCAGCGGAGAGAGCTGATGAAAGAAACATTTAGGAGGCTCCCCCTGGCAGTGGGACCCTGAACATGAGACACTCCGGGCACAGGAGACGCTTGCCCAGGGCAGAGTGATAAGCCTGGGTCATGAGGTTCAAGGCCTCCTGACCATCTGCAGATGGACATGGTCCTTGTTTCCAAGAGCTTAGCAGAACATACACCACCGAGACCAGCAGCTGCTATCCTGGCACCAAAGAAAAACACCTTTCGCTGTCAATTTCCAATCTCTGTCTTATTTTACGTTAATATCCCCCGAGGTGGGTTCAGCTTGCAGACCTGTGCTACCGAGGCACTGGCAGGGGACACTATCCATGCTGTGCCATGTCTGGAGGGGCTCTATAATATCACGGAGGATGCTGGACCTGGGGTGGGGACCCTCGTTCTCCAAGGAGCTGGGTCAGGATGGGTATAGGGCAGCAGGCGCAGGTTCCCCGCCCCGCCCCCGGGCTTGAACCATCCAGTCCCGTGGGGTCCTGGACTCTCCCTGCTGTCCCTGCCTCTCTTCTTCACTCATAAACCTAGAAGCATCTGTCTAGTTTCCTAAGCAAGACCAAATAGTTAAACAGCCCGAGAGTTCGGCAGATTGGTCTCCCCTTTGGGAAAATACAAGAAAATCAACAATTAACACTAATTAATCTCCTATTAACACCAGATAATTAGGAGACGAGCAATTCCCTGTAATCTGACAGTGGTTCTGACAGCTAATGATTTCCCCTTCGGGGAAGGGGTGGGAGAAGGAGGCAGAGCAGCAAACGGATTTCCTGGGACCCCACTGCCTGTCCCTCAAGCCGTGTTCTGTCCACACGGCCTTGGGGACAGGCTGGCACGGCAAAGTGCCCCATTCGTCCCTTCATCTGGCCTCCACGACATCCCAAGCGATCAGAAAGTCGGCATTCATCTCCCACAACCTGCAGCTGCTCCAGGCTTGGCTGGGGTGCCTGTCCTCCAGTGAGGAACCCCTCCCTGCAAGGAGGCCTCTATGGCCACACCTCCAGGCTTGCATTGCTGGAACTACAACTTGGGCAAGTTACTTAAGTTCTCTGTGCCTCAGCTTCCCATGTCTGTAAAATGGGGATAACCCTGTAGGGACGAGGATTAAGAGTCAACGCACGTGAAGTGCTAAGAAAATATCTGGCATAAATTATGCACGATAGAAATGCTAGCTGTTGTGCTCGTTTCCTGTCGTGGCCGTAACAAAGTACCACAAACTGCGTGGCTTAAAACAGTAGAAGTGTATTCCCTTTCGGCTCTGGAGGCTGGAAATTTGAAATCCAAGTTTAGGTAGGGTTGGCTCCTTCCAGAGGCTCTGAAGGAGAACCTGTCCCAGGCCTATCGCCTAATGTCGGGTGGTTTCCCACAATCCTTGGCTTGCTTGTAGATGCATCGCTCCAATCTCTGCCTGTGTCATCACATGACATTCTTCCTGTGTGTCTGTGTTCTCTCATAAAGACAGAAGTCATATTGGATTAGGACTCACCCCAATGACCTCATTTTTAACTTGATGACATCTGAAAAGACCCTATTTCTAAGTAGGTCACATTTATAGGTACTGGGATTAGGACATCAACATACCATTTGGGGGACTCAGTTCAACCCACAACAGCTGTTCCTTGGCTGGCTGGCCATCCTGCGTGGACGGACAGGGTACCAGCTGTGTGTGGTAACCCCTAGAGCACTGACGCAGCTCTGCCCCCTGCAGGTGCTGGAGCGCTGGTGCACGTCCCCGCGGACCATTGAGGTCTTGATGAACACCTACAGTATCATGCAGCTTCCCGAGGAGGCTGTGGGCCTGGTGCCTCCTGAAACTCTGCAGGTCAGATTCTAGGACCCTGAACACACACTCATTCAGCCTGCCCCAAGAGACTTCTACTGCCTAAAGGGAAGCCCTGTGGGTCCCCCCACTCCGCCCCACAGAAGTTACTCAGAAAAAGAAAACTCACATTGGGAACACGTGAAGCACTCCCTACTTCTAAGAGGCTCCTGGAGACCCACTGGCCACCAGCCTCCCCTCTCTAGGAGAAGTAGGTGCCACGTGTCCAAGACTCCTTCTGAGACCCTCGTTCTGCCCCCAGAAGTACCACCGTTTCTACTCCTCCCTCTTGGCCTTGGTGAGGCAGCCCAGATCGCTGCAGCATCTGAGCCGCTGTGCCCTCCGTGCTCACCTGGCGGCCTGCCTGCCCCATGCCCTGCCCCGCCTGCCCCTGCCAGCCCGCCTGCTCCGCTACCTGCAGCTGGATTTCGAGGATGTGCTCTACTAGGTGAGCCCTGGGCTCTGTGGACAGTCCCAGCCATTGGGGGCTGGGGTGGGGGAGTGGGGGGAATGGGTCGGAGGCAAGAGAAGAGTTGGGGGCAGGGCCCTAGACAGAACCACCCAAATTCCCAGACCACCGGACGTCTCTGAATCCACATCTCTCCTTCCAGATGTCCACTGCCTTTTGAGAGAGTCTGAAAGCAGATGCCCCATGCCCTAGGGGATGTCAGCCCACGGCTCACAGCGCCTGGAACTCAGGACTGAGTTGAACGGATTCAGGTGGAGGTGGCCCTCTCAGCAGGAGGTCCAGCTCCACAGGCAGATGTGGATGTCATCATTCCCACCAGGAGAGGCAGATGGGCCATGTGGCCAGGTGACATCTGATGGACAGAGAGCCGGGACTCATGGCAAATGATAGATACTCCTCTTGGGGTCCCCTGAGGCCCCCTCCAGCTTGTCCAAACCCTGTATGCACATTAAAGATCTCCAGGCCTCTGTTACTCGGTGCTGTCTCCAACAGCCCTTCCTCTGAGCTGGCTGGCCCACAGGGCACTCGAGATGGGCAGATTTATGGGGTCTCCCTGGATCTACCCCATGGTGCCAGCTGCATGGCATCCACTAGCTATTGAGGGACCCCAGGCAGACCTGCCCCTCTGGCCCATGCTGTGGGGGAATAGCCACCAGGTGAGATAGTATCAGAAAAGGGCTGAAGGAGAGCCAGCCAAAGGACAGGGGCCAGAGGACGGGGGTAGCAAAGAGGCTTGTGTAGGGCAGAGCCGCTGCGGAACGAGGCAGCGCAGACAGTGGGGCAGGATGGTAAAGGCAGCCTTGGGGTTGGGCAGTGAGGTGAGGGTCAGGAAGACAACGGGAAGGTGGGTGCACAGGCCAGCGAGCACCGCAGGGTAACCACAGTTCAGGTGAGAGTGAAAGACCCAGGTTTAGAAAAACCACAACAACTCTACCTACTGCCTGTCCTGTAGGTCAGGGAGCGCCAGAAGCACACCTGGTTCCTGTCTCTCCCGTAACTGCTCCTTCAATTAGGCACTGAGCTGAGAGGTAACACCCCTGGGTTCTAGTCCCAGCTCTGCCCTTAACTTGTGGAACAGAAGTCTCGTCCCTTCTCTGGGCCCAAGTTTCTGCATGTGTAAAACAAGAGACAAGGAGAGAGTCCCTTAGGGTCTTTGCAGTACCAGGATTTTAAGAACTTGTAGGCGCCCCGCCACCCAGGAGGCAGCCTGCAACCACTGGAGGGAGGGGGAGCTGCTCGGAGCCACGGAGCAGCCAATCCAGTGCACTGTGATCCGTGACGTCAGGGGTCGCCGGACGGATTTCCCCGGGCCCCAGAGTGCGCACGCGCCGGAGTTCACAACTTTCCCACCAGCCGCTGGGAGCGAGGCGGCAAATGGCGGGGCCCAGAGGGTGCGAGGCGGCGGGGGCGGGGCCTGGGCGAGACCGACAGCGCGGAGCTCGCGAGGGCATCGAGAGGGCCGCGGAGGTGAGTGGACCTTGATTCCCACCTGGCCTCACAGGCCTTGGGCTGACCGCCCCGTTTGGGCTTCCACGTGGGGGGCGCGGGGCGCGCGACGAGGATGGGACCGCCCGACGGGAGGGGCTGCGCCTGGAGCCCAGGCCCACAAGCAGTGGGGGCCGACCGAGGCCTGGCCCCTCATTTGTAGACGCTCCAGGCTGGGCCAGTCCCCACAGGCCCACCTCACAGGGGAAGTGGGCGCAGGCGAAGAGACAGGGGTGGGGGAGCGGCTTCTGGCCGGGCTTGTAGTCACGCGTGGTTCCGCTCACTGCTTGGGGCCTTCCCCGGGGAGCCCCGTCTTATCCCAGCTCGGGGTCCTGGGGAGAATGCCCCCCTGGCCATTCGTTTGTTTAGCAGAGGTTTGAGTGCCTCCTGTGGCCTGGGCGCCGGCGACACAAAGGCCTGTCTCTCTGGTCCCCACTAGAAAGTTCACTCTAGTGGGGACAGAGACACTAAGCGAACAGATGGGAAAGTAGCAGAGTGATAAGCCCTTCGCAGAGGAATTCCCCGGTGATTGACCAAGAGTGACTGGGAGCTATTTGAGTTCAGGTGACGTGGAAGCCTCCTCTTTGAGTAGGTGACATTTAACCTGAGGCCTGAATGACAAGGAGGAACCAGCCGTGTGAGCGGAGTGGGGAAGAGAGGGGAGTGACATGAACTGATTTCTGTTTTCAAAGATGGCTCTGGCTGCGGAGTGGCTTGGGGGAGGGGAGGGGAAGGGAGGGATGCGGGGGAGGGAGAATCAGAGACCCGTTAGGAGGCTACTGGAGCAGTCCAGGCAAGGATGGGAAACAGTAGGTGAGACTTGGGACCCTTTCTGGAGACTCACTGGGACTCGTTTTTTTGTTTTGTTTTTGTTGTTGTTGTTTTTATTTTTGGCCACACCGCGCGAGAATGAGGGATCTTAGTTCCTGGACCAGGGATGGAACCCGCCGCTGCCTGCAGTGGAAGTGCAGTCTTAACCACTGGACCACCAGGGAAGTCCCTCAGTGGGACTTGTTGATAGAGTGGATGTGGGGGGCTGAAGGAAAGCATAATGCAGGATGACTCCCCGCCCCTTTTTCTTGGTGGAGCAAAACTGGATGGATGGTGGTGCTAATTACTAAGGCGGGGAAGATGAGAAGAGGGCGGGTGGTGAGGGAATCAGAAGGTCTGTCTGGGAGATGTAAAGTTGGAGCTGCCTGTTAGACGTCTCAAAGAAGCTGTGTTACATGGTCATTTGGATCTATGAATTTGGCATTCAAGGATAAGGACAGGCCTGGGGATATAAATAGGGAGAAAATGCATGTGTTTGCATGTGAAAAATGTTTAAAGCTCTGTCCCAAGAGAATCCTGACTCTCAAGGGGAGGACTTTCCTGAGAAAGTCCTGTTTATGCATTTTGATGGAAATTCTAGTTAATTCCCATCCACGTCATTCATTTTGCGTTTGCTGAGCCCCATGGTTTAGGCACTAGATACACAGCTATGAATGAGACCTGCTCCCACCCTCAGTGAATTTTCCATGTAGTCTGAGAAACAGGTGTGTGAATAACGAGTTCAAATACAAGGGGGCAATGAAGTGAATGCAAAAGACATGTGGTAGCAGGAGCTGAGGGCCTGAGGGGGAAGACAAGGATAGGGGCGGGGGCCTGGGAAGACTTCACAGAAGGTGGGGTGCCTCTCCAAGAGTGATTAGAAGGGGGAAGTGTTTCTGACCATATCTGGAGAGCACTGGTTCCTTGCCAGATGCCTTTTTAAGGAGGGAGGGCATTAAGAGGAGAAGGGCAATATGGAGTGGTCAATATGAGAGGCTGCTGCCCAACTTCACGCATTCTCCCCTTAGCAAGGCAGTGTTAGGAAGGTCCCTTCTGGGGTTAGACATCCAGACACTCTTACAAGCCAGGGCGCTTCCTCCTCAGCCTCCTGGCTGCGGGTCCCCACGGGCCCAGAACCTCTCCCCGGTAATTGCTTTCCGTAATGTGTTTGCTCCAAACCAATTTCACGCCTCCGTGAGGACTCCGCCCTGCACTGGAGGCGCGGACCTCCCCACCACCAACCTACCCGCGTGTATCACGTGCGCACACACAATCGGCACACATTTAACACGATACACACGGTTCAAGTACCTGGATACAACCAACATACATGAACCTACGTGTGTGCATACTAGACTTTAAGACTCTCGTGTACAATCCCCCTGCCCAACCAGTGCACTCACAGTTAAGTCCCCTGCAGCGCCCAGCGCGCTCGCCCTTGGACCGCTCACCTGGTGGTGTTCCTTTGCCCTCGGCACGTCTCCTAGACTAACGCCAGGGGGCGCTGCAGTACTCCACACCTCTTTCGAGGTGACGCAGTTGCGCGCTGCTGCCACCAGAGGGTACCCGCGGCAGAGCCCGACGTTCCCCACCGTAAGTGGACACTGTCCCGCCAATGAGTGAGGCGAAGGTATATTTGGATTTGACGTAAGAGTACTTCGTTCTTTCTGGGTGCTGGTTTCCAGTCTGTGAAGGGGAGGCCAGATGATGGGGTCGACATAGGCGCAAGCAGAGAGGGTAGATTCAAAATAAAATTCCTCTGTAGGAGCATTTCCTCAACTGGTGGAGTAGTGAGATGGGACAAGCCAGCACGTGGGCAATTAAAGAAGCACTTGTAGCCTTCCATTTTAGACAGTGAGGGGAGGTGCTTACCTACATGGGCCTGTTCAGGGTTTGAGTAGGAGAACCGCAGAGTTTTCTTCTCAGTAAAGAAAGGAGCCAGCTCTGTTCAGGTTTATGGTGACAGCTTCTGTCCTTGGTACTGATGGGAGAGTAAGAAGCACTGGAGAGCCACTGACTTGGGGAACTTCCATAATTGACCGCCCTGCTGTCTTTGTCAGTTTAGTGCAGGAAGGACTCATCTGGAAGGTTATTTCCTCATATTCACTTGATCCTTGCGCTGGCTGTCTGACAAGGCAGAGTAGATATTAATTGCTGTCTCTCTCATGGATGGAGAAGTTAAGTCAAAAAGGGACCAAGGTCACATGGCCCAGAGAGGGGTTAGAATAGGAACTTAACTTCAGGTCTTTTTACTCCAGCTAAGGCTTTTTTCCTTTTACCATGCAGCCTCAGTTCCACGGTCCATGAAAGGGGCAGGGACAGGAAATGGGCTGCTTCAGTTGCCACTCTGTATGTGAGGGTTTTATTCTCGTTTAGCTACTGAATGTCAAGGACTGTGCAGAAGTTACACTTCATGACCCCAGCACGGCAAGGGGACAGATCGAGGATGAAAATGGATTATAAAATACAGTACCTAACAAACACACACCACCAGGGCAATACCAAGTCCCCGAGGTCTCACGTGCCTCATTTCAGAGTTGGTGGCCCACTGAGATTTGTTGGCAACAAGCTTTAAGCCTGGACTCTCTGTGCCAGCTTGCGCAGAGAATTCCACTTTACTGAGTATAGTTCTGGGCAGTAAGCTCTTGGCTTCAACTGGGTGACACACATCTTCAAGATCAGAGGGTCTTTAACCTTGAGTCCTTGACAATGCATGATCCATTCTATCCCACCAAAGAGTGACAGGCCTATTAAAGTGGCCTTTTACTGAGGGGGCTAGTGGGAGGGAGGTGTTTCAACATCCTTTTGAGCTTTTGGAATTTTGTACTAGGTGATTTTATTACCTATGCAAAAAGTGAATGCAGTTGCTTTAAAAATGGCTCTTCCTTCAGCTTTATTTGATTGGTGGTGTTACCGCTCATACAGCTTTCATTTCAGTGATTGTGGCCCGAAGTTCCCTTGGTAACTTTTCCAGCCAGTAAGCCTCTATTATGTACCCAACACTGTAAAGCCATCACACCGAGTACCGACCTCTCACTTTTTAAGTAAAGTACACTTTAAAAAAAATTATTTGTTTATTACTATTTTGGCTGTGTTGGGTCTTCGTTGCTGTGCACGGGCTTTCTCTAGTTGTGGTGAGCAGGGTCTACTCTTGGTTGCAGTGTGCGAGCTTCTCAC